CCCTCCCTCTATCCCCCCCCCTATCTACCCCATATCTATCCCCCCACCACCCAACCGCACCCTTCCATCCCCCCCTTCCCTTTCGTACCAACGAGCCCCGTACTGCCAGGTATATCGGAAGGGCGAAGAGAGACGGTTGGGTGGGAAGGGATAGTGTGGGATGGGAGGGATTCAGGTATCAACACTTACCTAGCAGTGTCTTCAGAGAGAGAGAGAGAGGGGGGGGAGGGGAGAGGTTGTAGTCTAGTTGTTTGTGCCTGAAAGTTGTGGATGGAGGTGGCTTCTGCAACTTTTTCATTCCACCTGTGATCAGGTTCGAGTTTTCTTTCCATTTCTTCAACTCATGAGTGGATGGATGGATGGCTAGGCTGAAGTTGATGGACAGATAGATGGATGAATAGACGGATGTTTTAACTGATTGGTAGATGGATATATATAACTGAATAGATGTTTATATATTTATATGCATAGGTAAATTAATTAATCAACAGGTAAATGTATACACATATACATGTTTATAGGAGGATATATGGATAAGTAGAGAGGAATAAATTGGGGGGAAGAGACCCGGGTTGCACCGGGTAAATCCCCCTCCCCTCTCCCTTAGTGTAAGGTCGCCAGGCGTTATAAGGTATAAGGCTTGGAAGCTGTCAAAGGGTATAGGACTTAAGCGGAGCACTATACCTTGGATTAAAGATCACTTTTATCTATGTAAGTACCACGATTATCCTGACTTACTCTGTATTTACTACTGTTGCAGGACTGTACTGAAGGAGGATTGCAAGGATTAATGGGCTATTGAAGACTCGGTTTGGACTCCGAATGGCGACGACAGTGCTCCGAAGTGCACATTCCTAAGGTTGACTCTTGCAGCTCTTTGTACCAGAAATGTACTGCTGTACGGACTAATCCACCAAACTCGAGGTACAGTATACAGATCTCTCTTAGTTATATGTTCTCACCTCTTAGTTATTCTTAGTTATTCTATATATATATGTTCTCGTCTAATACAACTTTTTAAAAATGTGACATGTTTTAGAAAATAAGTTTAATATTTAATACGTTTTTTTCCATTTTTTTTACTCTATGATTAAGGAAAAGTATTTTCTTATCTCATAAGTTACGTAAATATACAGTGACGAAACTATAGTTTAATAATTGTTCTTTCTTTCCTCAGATGCTGAGTTCCTGTAGCTTGGTAATGGACGACCCCCATGCTCGTCCCATGGGTGGTGGTGGTGGACCCCCACGCCCATCCCGTGGGCGGTGGTGGACCCCCATACTCGTCCCGTGGGCGGTGGGGGACCCCCATACTCGTCCCGTGGGCGGTGGGGGACCCCCATACTCGTCCCGTGGGCGGTGGTGGACCCCCATACTCGTCCCGTGGGCGGTGGGGGACCCCCATATGTTATGATCTCAGCCTGCAGGAGAAACGAGTCTCCCTCCTTGAGAGTTATTCAGCAAGCCTGACCTAACTAGAAGGTCTAGCAAATATTGAGGTGATAACCCATATGAAAAATGGCTGGTTGGATATGTAAAACAATTTAAGATTATGGGCAGTAAGTAAGGAAATAGATAAATGACTGGCTAGGAGATGTGGACATTTTGCTGGAGGCGTGAGGCTCGCTTCTGGAGGACCTTGACCTCACTTGAGTGCCAGACATCGCAGGGGGAAGCCGCGCTCCGTTGAGCTCCCGTCAGAAGGGAACCCCTAGTGATATATCTCTAAGAGAAGAGAAGTGTGCAGACGTACCAGCTGTGGAATAGAGCTGGGGACGTGTGGTCTCAAGTCGTGGACGATAATTAGTGAATATTAAGCCGCCCGGAGGCATTATTGTGGGCTGTGTGGAGCGCCCTGACCAGACGCCGTCAGAGGGAAAGCGCCCTCGACCAATTAATCTGTGGTAAGCACGATAAACGCCAGTTCATAGTGATTGTTTGTAGTTGGTCGTGTGCCCAGCGACAGTAGCGATGTTTATTTATAAGTTAGACATGTTTTAATAAGGCAGAAAGCCTGAAATAAGAGAGTGGAGAGGGAGGAACACGGAGCGACGTCCTCCCCCTCTGAGCGCTGGCGGACGACTGAGGGAGCCGGCTCCGGATGGAGGAAGACCCTCCCAGCGAGTGAGGACGCCGCCGCCAGGCGAGGTGGAGTATGGACCCGCCCAAAGCGGGGGAGTCCACTCTCACTGTATGTAGAGGACAGATAGAGGTTTGAGGCAAGCATATTGTGTGGTTATTTTTGTTTATGTGTTAAAGGGGAACATTTTATTGGAACGTCGATGGGTTGCAGGTTTGTCTTTTGGGGAAGAAGTTGCTGAGGACTTCGAAGCCAGCAGATGAAGTAGCTGATGAGACTCCAAGGTAGTGGAGCAGAGGACCTCGAGCTGTGAGGAGAAGCAGCAGTGAAGAGGAGGGTCACGTGCTTCTGTAGAGGTGGTGAAGCACCATAGTTACTCGAGGAAACTTCATGGTGTAGCAGCCAAGAGAGCTGTGGGAGAACCTAACAGAAGGGTGAAGCACCGTAGTTGCACAAGGAAACTTCATGATAGCAGCCTGGAGAAGCTGCAGAGGATCCTGGTAGTGAAGCCCGGAAGAACCTAAGGATATTAGGGTTGTGAACTTCCAGAGGTGGAAGGGGAAGTTCTGGTGGATTACTAGTAGGGAGTTGATAGTGTTTGGTTGTCAGTAGCGTGCAAGACGCAGTGAGAGGTGAGTGACTGTTGGCATTCTTATGTCAAGGAGTTTTTATACTGAAGTTTAGAGTTGCAGTCGTAGGCTTGATTACCTACAGATGTATGTGCATGAGGACTGACAGTGATCGATTAATCATTGTTGTGTGTATCAATGAACATTTATACTGATATATGTTATTGCATTCAAATGCTGATTTTCTATATATACATTATCTTGCTGATAGTGCAACAGTGTATGTAGGCTTGACCAACTTGAGGAGGTTAATGGTATCAGGTGGTGAACCAGGAGGTAGGATACCACTTGATAAGCTGATAATAGAGTTCTGATGGTGTTGGAGTGCAACCTGATTGTGATATTATAGAGTATAGGATTCATTATTATTATATGTGTGTATGTATCGTGTATGTGCTTTGTTCAGTAAATGTGTCACAATTTGCTGGTGTTTTGCCCTTGTCCTAGTGAGGCTTCCCAGGAGGTAGTAAAGAAGGAGAGAGAGAGAGAAAGAACCAAGAACCACTGCTGTGGACAGGGTAGGAGGTAATACTAGTAAGTCATAGGGGATTGAGGAGATCATATCTCATAAGGAGAGAGTGGGGAGTCACAGCGGCTCGAGTGGGTGTGTGCACGTGACAACGAGGCTAAGTGTTGGAGCCGCATCCCCTAAACGTGTGACGTTGAGCCCCTCTCCAAGAGCCAGAAGCGCCAAGGGTGATCTCCTAGTATAAGCACTCTGCCGAGTTGTGGGTTGGGTTGTCCATAGAGAAGGATCAACGACGACAACACCAACCAACCCACAGTCTATAATACATACTCGTCCCGTGGGCGGTGGTGGACCCCCATACTCGTCCCGTGGGCGGTGGGGGACCCCCATACTCGTCCCGTGGGCGGTGGGGGACCCCCATACTCGTCCCGTGGGCGGTGGTGGACCCCCATACTCGTCCCGTGGGCGGTGGGGGACCCCCATACTCGTCCCGTGGACGAAGGGGGACCCCCATACTCGTCCCGTGGACGAAGGGAGACCCCCATACTCGTCCCGTGGACGAAGGGGGGACCCCCATACTCGTCCCGTGGACGAAGGGGGACCCCCATACTCGTCCCGTGGACGAAGGGGGACCCCCATACTCGTCCCGTGGACGAAGGGGGACCCCCCATACTCGTCCCGTGGACGAAGGGGGACCCCCATACTCGTCCCGTGGACGAAGGGGGACCCCCCATACTCGTCCCGTGGACGAAGGGGGGACCCCCATACTCGTCCCGTGGACGAAGGGGGACCCCCCATACTCGTCCCGTGGACGAAGGGGGCCCCCCCATACTCGTCCCGTGGACGAAGGGGGACCCCCCAGACTCGTCCCGTGGACGAAGGGGGACCCCCCATACTCGTCTCCTGGACGAAGGGGGGACCCCCCCCCATACTCGTCTTCTGGACGAAGGGGGACCCCCCCCATACTCTCGTCCTCTGGACGAAGGGGGACCCCCCCCCCCATACTCGTCCTCTGGACGAAGGGGGACCTTCCCCCATATTCGTCCCCTGGACGAAGGTGGACCCCCCATACTCGTCCCGTGGGTGGAAAAGGGTTAGAGGCACATAATGGGTTCAAGAACTGAACCCATTAACTCTAAACTTATAATCCATTAAACACTTTTCGTATTATGATAATTAAATAAAGTTTTCAGTTGTACACTCGTATTTTAATTTAACTATTTCCGCATTTTGTGTAACCTGGATTTTTGTTCAATTGAACATTTTCCGTTTTTGTTCAATTGAACATTTTCCGTTTTTGTTCAATTGAACATTTTCCGTTTTTGTTCAATTGAACATTTTCCGTTTTTGTTCAATTGAACATTTTCGCATTCTGTTCAAATTCCTTTCCACAATAATTTTATGCAATTTGGAAAAAAGTCAGTTTGAATAAAAATGGAAAATGTTCAATTGAACAAATTGGGAAAATGTTCAATTTAACATTTTGTTCAAATTGCCTCTTCCACATTAAATAATTTAATGTTATTTGGAAAGTCAATTTGAACAAAGCGAAAATGTTCAATTGAACAAAATGCAAGTTGAATTTAATGCAATCTTCAATTGAACATTTTCGCATCATTCAATTTAACAATTTCGCGTTTTGTTCAAATAGTTGGTACTTTAATTTTTTCAAATGGCATAATTTGCATTTTGCTAGATTGAACAAAATGGTGATTAAATTATGCCCGCTGAATTAAGTTCGGCATCACTGTTCAATTCGCAGTTAACTAAAAAAAAATTAATCTTACCAATTTAATTTTAAATGGTTTGAAATATATAAGTATTAATTTATTGAACACAATTCAAATTTTTTTATTCCAACTTGTTTCCATGTCAACACCACTATTGACCTACAATTAAACAGTGGAATTACACCAATTTCCACCGAATGTAAAACTAAAATTACTGTACAATTTTGAATATATGTCATATGTTACACTGTATAGCTTACACTTAAACGTAAAGTAACAAGAAATAGAACTACTTAATTTAGTTCCATACATCTTAACTGTTACCTGTTTCTACATAACCCACTAATAATTTTTTTTTTAACATAGGATAAAGCAGAATGATAAATTTACAAGTGTTTCAAAGAACCTAATATACAAAGGCATGTTCTAAAACATTAAAATAAAGTCAAATATTTAAAATACAAATTCTCATTTGCACTACAAGAAATAGTTTACAAAAAATACAGTTTACAAACAATTATTGGAGGATAAGTAACCAATTATTTATTTTATTTAGAATTCAGAGTAAAACTACAGTAGAGCTTTCCTCTTTCAAGTTTTTAATTCTTTATTTTTCTATATTACCAAACACTTTGGAAAGTAGTTAGTGGTGCAACCACCTCTTCACTTAGTGGGATGAGGCTAGTAAAAGAATAGGACAGACCCGTCCTCAACCCTTTCTATTGCTTTATCAAACAAATACAATAAAGGCACAAATAATTATCAAAAAAAGGCACCAAGCCGGGAAGGCCATGTAGCTCTTTGAACTCAAAAATATATGTCATTTAAACAATTACAGTCACCAAGATAGGATAATTTAAACGCATTAAAGTTTTATTTAACAAAACATCGTGGTCTGTCACGAATAGTTCAAGCAGGGTAAGAATAATTGACAATGTACATTTTTTTGCATAACCTCAGCAATTCCTCGATGCCTCATTACAGTGAGGCGCTGCTAATATTCACTGCCACACAGGACAGAGGATAACCCTGGAAACACAAACCGAAACTGTCTATTTTCCGCTTGTTACGACTTGTAATAAAGTTGTTACATCTTGGCTTAACGTGTTTATGACGTATTAGAACGTTGTTACAACTTGCTATATTGGTCGTTATAACTGGTTAGGAGGTGTTAAAACTTGTTCGAACGTTGTACCAACGTCGTAGTTTCAGTGTTTGGCGGGAAGACAACAGGTATAGATTAAAGGATACACGCATGTATTTTCAACCTACTACATCAGATATTACTCTTTACAAATTTGTAAAAGCAACTTACAATTGTTCACTGTAGTTAATCCCTCCTTTCACAAGTCAAGTATGGATTCATCAGATGCAGGTTAAAATATTAAATAAAACTCACGTTTTTATTATTTTAAATAGACAAATTGGTATAAATTGTTAGGATATCACATACAAGATACAATGAAATACACAATTGACTGTACAAAAGACCAGTTCTAAAATCTTACATTTCCACATTCAATAACAGCGTTGATGTGAATGTCTTCACGACTTCAGTTTACACAGCTTAATAATCTTTGTGTGGTTCAGCCTCACTGAGGTCCTCTTTCCATGTCATCGTGTACGGATCCAGTTCTTAAATTTGTTCACAAGTCCAAGATCGCGTTGTAGGACGGAATACGAAGTTTCCTTTTAAATTCGGTTGAATTCACATCTCAATCCTTTGATACGGGATGTCACAATGGCGCGTTCTTGTGTATTCATTAGGGTCATAAGCGTTCTGAAAAAGACGAAAGAATTTAGTCATTTCACAACACATTACACATGGAAAAAAAAATAAAAAAAAAAGGTCAAATTTCATAGTAAGAGTTAATTCTGGGTCAGCATTGTACATGCTCTACTTGTGCCTAATTGCAGGAATCTTAAGTAAAATGAATAAAATTCAGTTGGCTTGAGATTTGTTGGACAATTCAATAGCTTCTTGTGTTATGCATCTAATTTAAGTAATTACTGAAAGCAAATCTATAAGGCTTTATACTATCCTTTTGAAGGCTTTGATATTTTGATAGGTAGCCGGCGTCATCAAAATCTCTGAATATTCAAATGGCACTAAACATCACTTGGGGTGCCAATTCGAGAGAAGTGCACGATTCGATGGACAGTGACGATACTGTCAAGACTTGGCAGGGCAATGTCAAATCCTTTAGGGGAGGACCCGAGAGTACTGGGTTTTCAAAGAGACCAACTGCCACAAGCCAGTTCTTGAGAGACTTCTCCCAAAGACCATTGTAAATTCCTAGCAAATACTGAAAAGTGCCCTGAAGGAGATGGCAAAGATTCTCAGATGCCGTGTGAGCCGGCCACAATAGAACCAGAGACAGGGTTGACGAGTTCTGTGCCCGAGAGCGCACAGTGTGAAGGAGAGCGGGCTATTCATGCCCATGACCTCTGGTGTGGCTTAATCTTTATAAAACTAATAAAAATCACCCCATGAGCACCTCAGGCTCCGGCAAGAACCTCAGAGGATGCGAAGATCGGGAAAGAGACAAGGGAAAGGGTAGATAAATGAAACTAGTATACCATTCACCTACAAAAACAAGAGGCAGAAGGAACTTTCGAAGGAAATGAATACAAGAACAAAAAGAACTCATTTTAGATCAAAACAGTAAAATCAGGAGTCTCACTAAAGCTCTCAAGGAAGGAATCAAGGGGCATTACAGATGACAATGGACGAGCACCAGGCATCGACTCCTGGACACTCAACAAAGGGGTGAAAATCAAGAAATCGAGCATTAAAGTCGAGCAAAATTTGTAATCTGTCTAAATGAACAGAGTAATTTTGGTACGCTGGGTTATGACAAAAGGCCACCAACGCAGGCTGAGGAGACTCCTAGGTAAGTCCACCACTGTTCAGCTAGACTCAAACTATAGTCTTAGTCACAAACAAAATATCGACAGCTAGTGTGGCCACTGATACTTACTTTCCACGTTGCAATATTCAAACAACTGAATCCTCTGCAGCTCTGAACACCACTCGCTTCCAATGGCAGGAGGCCCAAACTTCACCAAGAGGTAGTTCCCTTTCCACTGCAAGATCAGTCTACTCTGTAAAAAAATATAAACACGTTTTAAATTACATTAGCGTAGTTATTCCAGCTAACGCTCTACGTCGCTACCATTACAAAACTCCAGCAAAAGTTGCTTACAGAAGAACAATTAACTGTCCCACTCCCATCTCTTTGGGAAAAGTTTAGTCCTAATAATGTACCTATCAACAATGGGTCAACAGGATTGGGAGACACTTTCAACGAGTTAATTCTGGTCAGAAAAGAAGTTGAGAGGGTTAACAGTTGTCAACACCACCAGGAAGATTTAGCGGTATACACAGTTATTCCCTTTGTCTGATCTCTAGCCATAACCTAATAGTATTAAAATGTACCTCTTTTGGTCATCAAGAATCAAGGTGGTCCTCGCAACAGGAGACAGTTCATGAAGTCGTAGTCCTTAGGGCCCGGGTTAAAGAGTCCCGGTCGAAGCAGACAAATGGGCAGAACTTTTCACCTGATGCTCTGTTCACTAAGCATTAAGTAGGTACCTGGAAATTAGGATGAGGATATTCAATTCACGAGCTTAAGACTGACTTCATACTAATAATGAAACTAGGTTTCCTGCATACCTTAACACTGATGATTACACTGACAGGCAAGTGGAACCTGCCGACTGGTTCACGTTAAATGGCAGGCTTCACGAGACCCAAGCTCATGCTCCTGTTACACCACATCTCGTAGAGGTCGATTTCCAAACGCTTCTTCCAGTGTCTTAACACTAATTTTCAGATTGTGGATAGAGATGTCGTGGAACTTTCAACACAAGATTCCGGTGAAATTTTTACTTCACCTCGGGGCTTTTCCTGCTTAATTTTGAATCATTTAGGAGGAGGGGAGATAAGCACATTGATTTTAGTCCTTGCTGAATCTGGGGACAGGAAGGGAGGAGGGCTGCACCCAGACGACTCAAAAGATGGGACAGGGCACTAAAACTCCCTTCCACCAGAAGGAAGGACGGGAAGGCACTAACCCCCTCCCTCACACCCCAACCTGATGTACGGAGACGAGCACTGAAAGGACCCCCCCCCCCAATTCACCCACACACCGTAAATGACAGGGCATTTTCGTTTCAATGTCTAAAAAAAAAGAGCAATGGCAGTGCAAAGTGTCAAACATTTCTAAAGCTTATGTGACACACAGGCCTAAAGTACAAGATACCGTAGCTAGGGCCGCCACAGATTTACTGCCACACACTGCAGCTTGACTGACAACAGAAACGCTAGGCTTAATATCGCGCAGCTACTTGGGCGACATAATTTACCCGAAAAGTGGGAAAACCACAAGGAAACCTCCCCCCTCCCCCCCCCCTTTCTTACTATTCAACATACAGCTGACCTGCCCCAACCCCAACATGGAGAATACATCACATACGCTATCACTAAAACATGCCAACCAGGACCATCAAAACCGCCACTTGCCAACAAAACCTAGGCGGCAATTTAATTTATAAATTTTGAAAAATCAATTGAAAATAAGCAGAAAAAACATGTTACAGATAATACACATTGCAAGGAACCCAGACCCCACTATCCTTGGCAATTGCCTGATCCAATATGCAGAAGCAAGCAGCATATTGGGGCTCAAGACCAATAGAACAGGTACAAAAGTCCACGTAAGGGACATTAAAGCAAAAACAGGCACAGGAAAAAAATTAGGAGATTCCTAAACCTTACTAAAAAAAAAAAACAGCTGCACTTACATAAGGCTCCAGTCCGGCCAGATCTAGATTATCCTCTACCCCTACAGACTTTTGTACTAGTAAAAACTAGTACAAAATAAGGCGCTAAGAAGAGCAGCAAAACACTATCTACCATCTCATACAATTCAGGAGCTCCATGAACTAGACCACTTATCAGACGCCACAACCAAGCTACTAGACTAACACCAAGATCTTCCAAGACTATGCTAGAAAGATCACGCCAAGATGAGACGCCCCACTCCCACAGATGGTGGCCCAAGAGCCGTTTATATGAACACCAAGCCCCCACCACTATACATAATTCCTAGATGTATGATGCATATAATGGCATACATGCTTCACATGTATTTCCTGTGAAAAAAAAACAGCTCCCTGACAAAAGCAAGCTTAGCTGCCACAGTGTCAGCAAGGCGGACAGCACGCCGATCTGAACGTATTTCCAATTTCTAGAAAATTTTCCTTCACCTCTGCCTCTCCCGCATCTTTACTCTAAAAAAGGGACGGAAGGCATAACTCAAAAGGAACACACACAATTTACTAAGTAAAAAAAATACTTACAGGGGTACCCAAAATACCCTACAGGGTGTAGATTAAAAGGTTCTCAAGAAGAAAGGTTTGGTGTATTATCCTGTATTAGTGTCTTGAGCAGATAATTGTACCAAGTAGACTGGTCTGCAAGCAGGAGCCGCAAAGTGTTCAGTTACCTGCAAAAGCAAAAAATTGTAAGTGAAAAATTAATTTTCTGTTGGTCTTTTAGCTTCCCACTTACGTATCCCACTAAACCGTTCATTTCTGGACTTTCTATAGGCACTCCCACACTGGCAAGAATTATTATCCATATATATAATCGATATATCGATTATATATCGATATATATAATCGATCCAATCAGAGCAAAAATTCATTGGCATACAGACAATTTGAACTAATTGCAATATTAAAGAAAAAGTCAACCCATCCTCCTGTTAAGAGTACTTATAATATAGTGAACCATCGTACACATTGAGGTAATGGACAATTAAAAAGTACAATTTGACATAGGATTTGAACACGCTGGAAAAGGTTTTGCATTTATGTTAAACTACCTTGTACTTTTTTTCCCCCCGGGATATATATATATATATATATATATATATATACACACACGCTAGCACCGCTCCTGTGCCAGGTAAGTCCACTCCGGGCTCACCATAGCCCGTGATACTTGGAACTTGTTCCGAGTAGCTGAATCTATAACACACACACGCACCCTACCAGTAGGGATTTGCAAGTCTTGTGGCCTAAAACTAGAGAATTCCTTTTGAGAAATTAACTTTGTAGCCAAGTGAAGGAGTTAAACCCATTAATAGTCAAGTAGGGACGCAGTTTACAGTCGGGACAAGCGTATAGAATCCAGGAGTATCCCTAGTCAGAAGTGTAGCCTAGTATGGCGTTAACTTCCTACGCAAGTAACAGGTAACTTACCTAGCAGTAAATAGGTACCTGGGTTTTAGTCAGCTGTCACGGGCTGCTTCCTGGGGGTGGAGGCCTGGTCGAGGACCAGACCGCGGGGACACGTAAACCCCGAAATCAACTCAAGATAACCTCAAGATAGGCAGTAGAGGAGACTAAACTTAAAATCAGGTCATTCAATGGGTCACAGGAAACATTTTTAATGAAAAACTAGCTCCTGAGCTATGGAAAAAAATAAGTCGGTCACAGAACTAAAAAGCAATGCAGAAGATTTGAGGTAACCAAGCTTTAAGTTTAATTAATGTTTTAATGTACTTACGAACCCTCACTAACAAGGTTACGTTTGGCTAGGATTGGTTAGGCTACATAAATAGTACCAAAATGCACTATGTACTCTGATCTTTTTATGAACTAATTTGAGGACTGATTTTAAAGCCCGGGTATAAAATTATAACCACGACAAGACTCCCGTACCAGTCTACCAAAAAACATGGGACCTCGATAATTCTAGCTGGTTCAAACTGAGGATAATACTAACTAGGCCAATTATAATCGATATGCCCAGTTCTTAAATGCATTATCTAAATACTAAAATGTGCCAAGTGTGCTTTGTTAATTCACTAACCTGACAAGGGGCTGAAACCTGCACACACAACCACACCAGAACGGACCAGAGGCATGGCATAAATTTTAATAAAACAGCCGGGTGGAAATCCAGAGGTACAATAGATGGAAATCCAGAGGTACAATAGATGGAAATCCAGAGGTACAATAGATGGAAATCCAGCGGTACAATACGCACGTTGATAATTCTACAAATTTCAAGGGGTCTCCAGACCGTGCCGCGAAGACTTGGAAGATGGGAACTAACGCGAACTAAAGTGCCATTAGAGGCCATTAGATTGACATAAGCCACCATGGCAACTGTCCAACAGCTACCCTTTCGTAGCTCAGTCTATTAAGGCAGCGTCTGGGATGCTCCCGGACGCAGGTTCGAAACCTCGACACGGCCCCTTGAAGATTTGTTCATTTGATGCATCACGTTAGTGTGATTTCTGTGTGTAGTGTAGTGTAACAGTCCACAGTTCGGGGTATGATGATTCAAAATTATATTCCACTACATGAACGATTTATACAGGCGTCGGCGAACGATTTATATTTACAGGTTAACCATTAAAATTCTTCATATAATGACCAGACCACACACTAGAAATTGAAGAGACGACGACGTTTCGGTCCGTCCTGGACCATTCTCAAGTCGATTGTGATGAGGACAGGTAGGGACAGGAATTAAATAGGCAAGAGAGCTGAGGAGGAAAGTCAGGTGTAGGGGATGTAGTAATGAGAAATATACTTTCTTCATATACTTTCCAATTCTGTTCGATATACGCTCAGCGCCGCCTCAATAGCACCTTGGCCACACACGGAAAATGCAAAACATGAACATTTCCTCCATTGGAAGTTAATTTATTAATATGTTGCCAATTTACAAAGTCTTCAGGGTATGACACCGGACCAACAGACAGACTTATTACCTTTGATAATCCGTTACAGCCCTACTCCTGTGCCAGGTAAGTCCACTACGGGCTCACCATAGCCCGCGCTACTTTGGAACTTTTGGTTTAAGTAGCTAAATCTAGAACAACAGATAGACCTCACCAGGAACACCGGTCACCCACACCCTCACCGACCCTCAGTCAGCCCTGCACTACTCGCCCTCCAACTAATTGCTCGCCCTCCGTCGCCTCACTCACGATTCGCTCAAACAACGAAGCACCAGCGACCCGTCGTTCACTGGTTGAGTCTCACCACTTAACGTTATTCCGGAAGTCGGTCGGCCGAGCGGACAGCACACGGGACTTGTGATCCTGTGGTCCTGGGTTCGATCCCAGGCGCCAGCGAGAAACAATGGGCAGAGTTTCTTTCACCCTATGCCCCTGTTACCTAGCAGTAAATAGGTACCTGGGTGTTAGTCAGCTGTCACGGGCTGCTTCCTGGGGGTGGAGGCCTGGTCGAGGACCGGGCCGCGGGGACACTAAGCCCCGAAATCATCTCAAGATAACCTCAAGATTCCAACCCAACGTTAACATACAAAAGGCCGTCACTTTCGAAACACTTTAATCAAATAATGACATTAAATTGCACAAAAGCAAGTATTTGAATTGCAATTAAACTCGACCACGTTCGAAGTAATGATTCGAGACGTGCTTCATTCACCTTAAACTTGTATTGTAAACCACACATTAGTAATATTAACCTAACCAGAACAAGTTATGTCGGGATAACTGAGAATAAAGCGACAATATATCGAAATTAATTAAGAGATAAGATAAAAACTACTTCAGTACACCGCAAGATTCATATCAGTTGGTTGCCAGATGTAAAGGTCAACTACTGACACAACCCGTCCTCAACCAGCCCGTCCTCCAAACAAAGATCCAAAAGTGATTCCATGCACCCGCCAAACCCCCTGTTTATGAATGAAAAACGGTTTACACACGACTCACAACTGCTGACGTTCGAACATATCCGGAACAAGTGCTTCACTGACGAATTTTGTTCGAACCACAACGCTATAAATGCTTCACCCACGTACTACAAATACAAATAATCGCCAACAGAACCTGAACACCTAACCTAACCTATGCCTATTTATACACAATATGCTAATATATTATAATATTAATTTATACTTGAGAAAATTCCCGTTTTGAATGAACAGCATATTAAAATTTATGAATGCGTCTGTGGGGTCGACCGCTGAATGTAATGGACTTGAGTCGAGGATGGGTTGCCTCAACTCAAGTCCATTCCATCCAGCGATCGACCCCACAGACGCATTCATAAAATTTAACATGCTGTTCATTTAAAACGGGAATTTTCTCAAATATAAATTAATATTTATAATATATTAGCATATTGTGCATATATAGGCATAGGTTAGGTTAGGTGTTTAGGTTCTGTTGGCGATTATTTGTATTTGTAGTACGTGGGTGAAGCATTTACAGCGTTGTGGTTCGAACACAATCGTCAGTGAAACACTTGTTCCGGAAGTGTTCGAACGTCAGCAGTTGTGAGTCGAGGACGGGTTGAATTATTAAACAGTTAATGAGCTCCGAAGCACCAGGAGGCTGTTTATAACAATAACAACAGTTGTTGTCATAAACAATAGCTTGACATGGAAGTTTTCATGCCTGTAATCTGTTTAATAAATGTAAACAAAGCCGTCAAAGATTGAAGAAAGATGTACACGTTTGTAAGTACTTGCGTAACTGCTTCGTGAATCTGGCCCCCTGGTCAACCAGGCTGTTAGACGCAGCTACTCCCAGCCTGACGTATAAATAAATAACATAAATAAATAATATAAATATATATATTGTATTTAGAGTCAATTTTTGTTTGTTCAGAATGCTCTTTATTCCCTTATCCGATGGTATAAGTCCCTACAAGTGCACTATAGATACCTTGAGGTTACCTTGAGGTGCTTCCGGGGCTTAGTGTCCCCGCGGCCCGGTCGTCGACCAGGCCTCCTGGTTGCTGGACTGATCAACCAGGCTGTTAGACGCGGCTGCTCGCAGCCTGACGTATGAGTCACAGCCTGGTTGATCAGGTATCCTTTGGAGGTGCTTATCCAGTTCTCTCTTGAACAGTTCTCTCTAGATGGTTCCCCTTTCTTGAGGTTTTCTTGAGATGATTTCGGGGCTTTAGTGTCCCCGCGGCCCGGTCCTCGACCAGGCCTCCACTCCCCAGGAAGTAGCCCGTGACAGCTGACTAACTCCCAGGCACCTATTTACTGCTAGGTAACAGGGGCCTCAGGGTGAAAGAAACATTTTGCCCATTTGTCTCCGCCTCCACCGGGGATCGAACCCGGAACCTCTGGACTACGAATCCGAAGCTCTGTCCACCCAGCTGTAAGGTGCTCATATACCCAGAATTTATATACCTAGAATTCTCTGACTCAGACCCTTCGAGCATTCAGAAAGTGTCAGTGGCTTTTCATTAGAACGTCGTATTTTGACGTATAGGCTGCCTTAAAGCTCAAAAAAATCGTCGTACTAAAAAATGGAAGCGACTGACGAAATTAACATACTGTCCCGTTTTCTGTTTTGGGTCCTCTGGTTAGGTTAGGATAAGGAGGGACTTTAGTACGACAGTTTCTTAACGTTGGGGGAAACCTTTTAAGAGGACGGGCTGTTGTAGTTGTTTAAGATTCGCTACTTGGAACAAATAGTTCCAAGTAGCACGGGCTACGGCGATCCCGTAGTGGACTACAACGAACTGCTCCTGCTGTTCAGCCACCCACACTAGCCTCAGCCGAGTCACCATGACATGCCAATTCTGAGCTCCTCCCCCCCCCTTTCCTCCCCCTCCACTTCTCGCGGCTACCACCAGAAGAGCCTAATCTCGTCTTTTCAAAACAAGGCGAGAGTCATCCCAGGGCGGACATATGGAAATTCAATGACTATCAGACCCTTACTGAGTGTAATATTCCTCTCCCACTGAGCTCAATATTGAATGAAAACTTGTCTGTCATCTTGAGGCCACCAAGGCTTTTGGGCCGTAATTGAAGGGGGGAGCGGTTGTGCAAAGGACAGGTGTGAGGGAGGGGTTGAGGGGGGGGGATAGTTGAGAGGGGGATGGTTGAGAGGGGATGGTTGAAGGGGGGATGGTTGAAGGGGGATGGTTGAGCCCCCCTCAACCATCCCCCCTTTCATGGCTTCTTATTGGTGGCGGTGGAAGATGGTTGAAGGGGGGATGGTTGAGGGGGGATGGTTGAGGGGGGATGGTTGAGGGGGGGATGGTTGAGGAGGGGATGGATGGTTGAAGGTGGATGGTTGATAGGGGGGTTAAAAGTGGTTTTGAGTGGTGGTAGTTGTTGTGCTTCCACCGCCACCAATAAGAAAATAAAAGCCATGAGAGGGGGATTCGAACCTGCACACACACACTTGGTACTCCCAACCACACGCCCTAGACCACTACACCACGACGTGCTAAAACAAAGAATGCAATCTTGGAATTCAACTGAATTTTCTCTAGGGGTTCTAAGGATCTAATGTGATTTGCATTTGCAGAGAAGCGTAGGAGGTATGGAACATCTGAACGTGTGGGTCTAGTCGTTCAGATGTGTTGATTGGCAAGTTTTCATGCTTGTAAACTGTTTAATAAATGTAACCAAAGCCGTCAAAGATTGAGGAAAGATGTACACGTTCGTAAGTGCTTTCGTGAATCTGGTCCCAGAGCCTTCAAAACCATCGGCGAACGTTCCTCATCTGGCCCAAATTCACCGATAACTGCAAGTTGGTAATCACAACACAAGACGCTCAGCCATCCACACACCCGCTATGTTTATCGTACCTTTCTCAAGAACTTCACTCCATCAGCAATCATTCATTCCTCGACCAACTTCACCCTTTGCAACATATTTGCTCAACATGTAGATACACGCGAAAACACGACAAGCGACTATATGTAGATACATATAGACTCTAATACATATGACTCTTGGTTCATCCTGTACTTGATCGCAACTTAGCATTTAATTTTAGGCTATTTTAACAGATACAAATAACAAGTTCATCAAAGAAATGAGTTTCTAGGGACAGACTTCAAATGAGCTGAGAGAGAAAGAGAGAGATAGAGAGAGTGAGAGAGAGAGACAGAGAGAGACAGAGAGTGAGAGAGAGAGACAGAGAGAGACAGAGAGTGAGAGAGAGAGACAGAGAGAGACAGAG